TCAGTAAACTTCCCTGCATATTGTTCACACAATAATGTAATTATTTTTCATTGTTATATTTTTTTAATTGGTTGAAGACAGGTTCCTCCATATGAAATGTAGTTATGAGCAAGCAGGGTATTTATTGCCTTGCTGCATTAAGAAACTTTAAACACAAAACACCTCCACAGTTCTGACTTGAAGTATATATGCACATCATCACTGTGCGTATATGCAAAAGAAGTACTTTTTAATGTAAAAAGCAAGAGCGTCAATAAACACTTGAAAGTGACTGGAGATGCATTTTTGAGCTCAGACAAGTTTATGCTTTCAGAGGCTACAGTCCAAGGCTTCCTGGTCATTCCAAAATGCTGCTGGCAGTATTTATGAAGTACGGTGAAAAGCTCTACAGAACCATTTCAAAAGGAAAGCTTTGAATCAGCTTTTGCATGTGAGACAGTGACATCCAGTGGCGAGTTTGGTTACCTGTAGCGATATCTTCCTGATGCACAGAAAAACATCAATATTTGTGTTTGCTGAGATGCATTATTTAAAACATATTTTAAAATATTAAAAAACATTTAAATATTAGAAAAATATACACAGTATGTGAGTTTCCTAAACAAAGAAATATACTTTGATACATTAATTATAAAAATGGTACATCCATCTGAAGTGAAAAATAACAGAATCACAGAATGGGTTGGAAGGGACCACAGTGGTCATCTGGTCAGACCTCTCTGCTTAAGCAGGGCTGTCCTAGAGCACACTGACACAGAATTGTGTCCAGATGGTTTAATAAAGCTTACAATAAAAGCAAACAGAAATGTCTAGCTGTATTTGAAGAAACAGAACATTCTCTACATTGTAGCCGTATTCTTTTCTACCTTGTTCACACAAAAAATCACTACTCCTCTTTTTCCTGAAATTCCCAGTTTCTGTAAGAGTTCAAGATCTGAGATGATGATTCTCAGCATCCACAAAGCAATTCTTCATAGACTCTTCCTCCATTTAAGATTCACAGTCACAGCATATCGCCCTCTAACTCTAATGTAGCTTTTCTAGAATAGATCCCTCCTTTCAAAATGCAGCTGTTGAAAAGTAGTAAGACTGTCCTTCAAAGTTCTTTGTTTAGAATACATGCAAGACTGTAGGAGACCTCAATTTACTGTCCTTCCATGCCTTTGGGAAATAGGTGGGGTTTTTTTACATATGATGGAGATACACATATCTACTAAACTAGAAAATGCTGCTGAGGAACAGAAATTTTAATTCCTTATTACATCTGTTACATTTTTGTAAATCATGAAACTCAATGGACTAAAAAGTGGTGAAAATACATCCAAGTTAAGGATATCTCATTTTAGGGGATGTGGAAAAACATAGCATGCTAGGTTTTCATTTTTGGAAACTCATCTAAGTTACTGCTTTTTCATATGGAATGTGGCCAACCTCAACCTCCAGCCAAGTTTATCAGCTAAATTCTGATAATCTATCTTTTCACAGATTTATATGCAACAAAACTACTTTCTACTATGGTAAAGTTGCCAGGTTAATATTATTTTTCCCTTATGTTTTTCCACACTGTGTGACACCACGTGCTGTTGTGGATAGACACATTAAGGAAGACTAAAGAATTAAGTAACTAAAAGCAAGATACACAGACCAGTAACAAATCACCTCTGCCTCATCTTGCTCTCCACTGGATCCAACTGAGCACCTACCAGGTTTTCTGTATTCACATTTGAAAATGAAATAAACAGGCTCTTCCACAAGCAACCCAAATTCAGGTTTCCCAATTAAAAGAAAAGGTATTTCACCAACCTTAAACATTTGGCTCTCATTCACTTATAAATTCTAAGCAGACAAAACAGTCTCTAAATTCATGATCTAATTATTTTGGTTTGTCAGCAAGTAGGCCCATACTTCATGTTATTGCAGTATCACTTCATAAATCCAGACTCAGGATGAAGAAAGTCATGCTTCACTTACTGAGGGTTTCTGTTATGGTTTAAGACACTTAGTTTTTTTAAAAAAATAAACCCAAAAAAACCCCACCCAAAAATCACAAACAAAAAACACCCACAAAAACTTAGCTGTTAAACTTAGTGTTTCTTAGGCAGGGTTAGCTAAGTTTGAGTCTTTCCAAAATGGGAATATTTTCCTGACAAACATAAATGCACATTCAAGAAAAGGTCATCCAAGACAGCCAGCAAGAGTAAATCATACCTGACCCATCTGGTGGCCTTCTATGATGGAGTGACTGCAACAGTCAACAAGGGAAGACTGAGAGATGTCACCTACACAGACTTCTGTAAGGTCTTTGACATCATCCAACACATCCTTATCACTAAACAGGAGAAACATGGATTTGAAGCATGGATTATCTGGTGGAAAAGAAATTGGCTGGATGGAGACAGCCAGAAAACTGTGGTCAATGGTTTATGTTCATGTGGAGGCTGGAGATGAGTGGTGTTCCTCAAGGCCCTTGTCTTGGGACTGCTGCTCTTTCATGTCTACCAAAGACATAGTGAGATTGAGTGCTGCACACTCAGCAAGTCTGCAGATGACAAAAAGCTGAGTGCAGCTGACAAAAAGCTGAGTGCAGCTGACACAAAACAAGGAAGGGATGTTATCCAGAGAGACCTGGACAAACCTGTGAAGTGGGCCCACAACAACCTCACCAATTTCAGTGGGTTCAAGTGAAAGGTGCTGCACCAGGGTCAGGGCAATCCCAGATATGAGTACAAACTGGGAGATAACTCACTGAGAGGAGCACTGCCAAGAAAGACTTGGGGGTTCTTGTGGTAGAAAAGCTGGAGATGAGCTGACAACGTGCAGCTGCAGTGGAAAGCCAATCATATCCTGGGCTGCATCAAAAGCTGCATGGCCAGCAGGTCAAGGGAGGTGATTCTGCCCCTCTCCTCTGCCCTTGTGAGATTACATCTGGAACACTGCATCCAGCAATGTGGTCCTCACCACAACAAAGATGTGGACCTGTGAAATCAGGTCCAAAGGAGGCCACAAAGGTGATCAGAGGGTTTGAGCACTTCTACCTATGAAGACAGGCTGAAAGAGCTGGGATTATTCAGCCTGGATAAGAGAAAGGCTCCAGAGAGACCAAATTGCAGCTTTTCAGTAGTTAAAGGGGGCTTACAAAAAGAGGGAGAGCAACTTTTTACAAGGACAAAGGGGATCAGCTTTAAACTAAAAGAAGGTAGGTTTAGATTGGATGTTAAGAGGAAAGTCTTTACTTAGAAAATGGTGAGACATGGGACAAGTTGCCCAGATAAGCTGTGGATGCCCTTCCCTGGAAGTGTTCAAGGCCAGATGGGATGGGGTCCTGAGCCACCCAAGCTAATGGGTGGCATCCCTGCTCATAGGATGGGGGTTGGAACTGGATGATCTTCAAGATCACTTTCAACCTAAGCCTTTCTGTGATATATGGAAACCACAATTTTATGTTTGTGAAAATTTATCTCATATAACTGTTACATTTACTTTGTACAGTTTCAACAGTGAGGAAAGGTTTAAAAACACCAACCTCACACATAAGAAAGACAAAATACCGAACTATTTGGGGAAAGACTGACTTGGGTGTTACAAAATAAGGCACATTGTTTTCAATTGCAAGAGACTTGTTGCTTAGCTGACCTGAACCACCTTGCTTACTGTGAATCAAATTCATACACTTCACACTGTAAAGCCAAAGGTTACTGATAACAGGTGGTTATCAGTAACACATGATGAGGTACAACAGCTCCAAGTGTGTGACACTAAAACAACTGTGCATTGGTATTGTTTCAGAACAGTTCACAACAGGAAAGTCAGGAGCACAACACTTGTGTGGTCATGCTTAGGACCATGTGTGAAAATTGCCCCTCTCCCCATGAAATCCTAAAAGCAAGACTGAACTTTTTCTAAACCAGTCTGGGAGGACATCTTATTTATATAAAAAGGTCTGTTCCTTGGTCCTGAAGACAGCAGGTCTTACAGTCACATTTGGACAGATTCTATTAATTCCTTCCCAGAAGGCACATACTGTCTTACCAGACCACTAGAGGTGTTATTCATGCAGTTGACACCACCCAACACTGCACCAAGAGTCACAAGAGAATGGTCAGAATGGGACAACATATAAACCTTCAATTATTTATTTTGCTAATATAAAGTAATCTAGCTGTCAGTGGTTCTTGATGGAGCAATGAGTGAGAAAAACGCCAGAGGCACAGGAAAGTTAAAGAAATGGATCCAACAGTAATACTTCACTACCCTTCCACAATGCTGTGAAGCCCTCAAGAAAGAGTTTCACTTTCTCCTTCTCTAGGAGACTCACAAACTGTGTGTCTCCTAGATAGCATGTGCTATCTCCCTTGAGTTTTTCTCCCTTTGAGTATTTCCACTGGTGTGAAGACTGTTCAAGTAATGAAAATTAATTTCAAAAATACTTACTTAGGTTATAAACTTACCAATGGTCTGGGATTTTCTACCCAAGTATTTTTCAAATTAGTCTAAGTTCAATTTTGTAGATCATCTTCCCTGTGTCTTAAATGAAACCTGTATTAGATAGAAGTGTACATCTCCAAACAAAGATATAGCTTTTACTAAATATGGACAGTTTGCACTGTGTTCACACTCCCCCTTCAAATTTCCTTAATTCAATAAAAACAAGCTACTTGAAACAAAACTGAAGTCTTCTTCTTTTTACCAGAGTTATTTTTTCATTTTCAGTTATTTAAGAAAAAAAAGCATAAAAGAGGGAACAAAATTGTATAGAACATTATAGTTTCCCCCTTCTTTTCTGTTCTATAAACAAGACAAAACCTATAAAAATTTCATCCAGTTTTAAGAAAAGACGTTTATCTATAAGCCTTAAAACCATGAACTGTAAATTTAAAAAAAAGGCAGCAATCATTTTGAATTACTTATGCAAATTAAGTACAAGATTTTACTAAACTAGGAATTTTTATGAGAAAAAACAAGGGAAAAGTCTGATTAAAAATTAATACAAATTAACTCAATTTAAGATACAGTGGATAGTTTTATTTATAAAATGCCACTGGCACACAATACACATAGAAAGTATGAAACCTGATTTATAAAGAAGTGACATGCTTCACAGAAGCATGGATTCCTGAGTTATTCTGAATACAATCTCTCATTTACTTTAATTCACAACACTTCTCCAACTGGCTTAAGCAGCAGAAGAATGGATATTTGATAAACAGAGAGGTAAGATACATTAAAAATCACATACAATCAAAACTAACTGGAACATTGTGTCTCGCATAGGTCATGGTGGAAAACTATCTTAAAATGAAGGGCACAAAATCTCTTAAGACTGGTTTCTCAATTTCACAGCCAATTCAAATGTATTGTAGACACCTTCTTTCACCTTGCCCATAGGCACATGTTACAAAGTCCTCTTGACATCAGACACAAATGTATCTCTGTTTCTGAATAATCATACAGAAGGACTGATTACCCAGACAAGCACTATTATAATTGAAAAAAATAGTGTAAGGTGCTTTCACTTCTTTTTCTCTTTTTCTGCTTTCCTTCTCTGTTGTAGCATCTTTAGTTCAGTCATTACATTCAAAGTTCTGTAAACCCAGCTGATCTGAAAAGTAAGTATATTATTGAATTTAACTAATGCATATACATTCACTTATCAATTTAATAAAAGCACCCATATAAATGAACGTATGTATGTATACATACCACAATTATAATAGTATTCACCAGCAGTGGTGCTGAAAATACAAGCGAAATAAACATTCCTCTTGAATCAAAGTATTGGTATTTAGAAAACAACCTGAAAGAAATACAGTAAAAATGAGAGAGGAAGCTTTATTCAGTGTAGTTCACACATCAGACTTTCACAGTTATTATTTAACATGGACATTGTATACATCATCCTACTTCTTGGGATCCCCAAGCATAAGCCAGCATTCTACTGTACTAAGTCAGAAAAAAGAGGCAGTCAATATCTCATCAGTTATGAATATTTACTACAATACCTGTATTTCTCTCCTTTAAAGTTTTATTGCACAAACACTAAATAAAACAACTATAAATTAAGAAATTTCCCAATGCGACTACAAGAGTACATATATTTGTACCTCAGAAATCATTCTTATCCTGAAGTGCCTGCAATTACTTTCTTAGGTATTTTGTTTAGTTATATTACAAAAGATAACAGAAATAATAAATGTAGTAAAGGTATAATTTAGATCATAAATGCCTGAAGTGAAGCATAAAGACTTACAGTTAGATGACTGCATAAAGTAGTTTTAAACACATAATTTGCAGTTTTATCAGGGAAAGATTAGTTCAATCTTATCAAAATAAGCCATCAGTTTAATTCTGGTATACAGGTTTAATAAAACAGACAAATTTTAATGGTTATGATGCATACAAGTAAGTATAAAAAGCAGCAGTGACATTTTTAAAAAGGGTTTTTTCAGCTTATTAAGTGTGAATAATGACCGAAGAAAATTCAGCAAAAACAAACCCCAAAGTTTGCACCCTATTCCTCTTAACCATAGCACTCTGCTTTTCTCTCAGTTTTCTGACCAGTTAGTTTACAACCATACATATAAACACAGATTTTAAGCAGTAAAATAAAGGTATGCTAGCTACCAAAAATTATCAAGCTAAGTGATATTTATGTTGTATTGTATAGTTTTATTTAAAAAATGAAAGTGAAAACAGTTACCTCCAATTCATGGCTGCTAATTCGTTGATGTACTCAGCACAGTACACTAAGCCCACTGTACAACAAAAGAAAAATATTCGATTCAGTATTTCTTTAAAAATACTGCCATCAGTTCTGTGATTATACTAAAGATGTGTACATATCAGGTATTAGAATTCCTTGATTCTCAGAAGATCCTTCAATATTTAACTGCACAAAACCAATTCTGATTTAAATGTCTCATATAGTTACTAGAAAGTATTAAGTGATCACAAAACATACCCCCTACATTACAAACAAACAAATGTAAAAGCCTAATCATCTGAGCTTACAGAAAAAGCTCACCATACAAATTAATACTAATGAAAAGACCCAAACACCAAACTGGTTTTTTCCCAACAATCCTCTTGCTGAAAGCTTCCAAGTTATGTCTGTAAAAAGAAATGCAAGTGCTCCCCAAAGTTGGTATGGAATTAAGTTATTATTATAGATTTTATGGTGTCACACTGTTATATCTAACATTATTATCTCAAGTTTGGGTACTAATAATATACAAGCAAACACTAATAACATACAAAATAGAAACTGTTTTAACACGTATACAGCAGAGTAGTCTACTGTAATCAGGTACAAACCAGCATGTTCTTACCTGAATTCAGCATATTCTCACTTGAATTACATTCAATATGAAGCCATCAAGACATTAAGAAAATGACAATTTTCAGTGCAACCACATTAAACAGAAAAGCAACACACCTACAAAATTTTAAACTCAAACAAAGCAAAACACCCAGACTGAATGGCTAAAGATAACCTGCACAAGGCAGTTCAGTAACTAGTCTGGTGATATGAAAGAGTGTCATCTTGATGTGCCATCACCTGGATTACCTCTGCTTGGCATTGTGCAGTATAAACATAAACACAAATATAGGGCTGCTTGGTTGCCAAGGAAGCACAGTGTGATAATTTCATAATTTCCTCAGCTATTTCTAACTACCTACAATATAAAATAATTTCTATTGCAGACATATCCAAGGTACAAACAAGGCTTGTACTCAAAATGGGTAGCTTTATGCATTCTGTATTAACAGTAAGTTTACATCATTCCTAGAAGTCTAAACGTATGGAATTGGAAATTCTGAACGTCTAATATTACCACAGAAAAGGCTGTATTCTTATAGGAACTTCAGGCCTATAATGAACAATGAACAGGGCATTGCTACCCTCTGTAGATCATTTAATACATCCAGGTATAACTGGATGTATAGACATTACATATGAGTAGAAGTACAGAAAGATTTCTGGATTCCTTTTTGGGGGTATTGCATATTATTAAAACCTTAGCTCTAGCTGAGTTATTTGCTGTTTTGAAGAAGGTATAATTCGTCTACCAACTTGACTACCACCTAAACAGTATTTTTAAAGTCAACATAGTCTTCCAGTGGCTTTTTTTGCCTGCAAATCTCTTTCAGTTGCTCACTTTTCTACCTCCACCCTGCAAGCATGACAGAGCTGTGGTACCATGTAAAGAAACACAACTCAGCAGAAAATTCAACACATGGCTAGAACCAAGGTAGTGCTCATAATACATGAATCTAATCCAAAATCTATGAGATCTTAATTAAACCAAAGCCAGTAGGTCTTCTGTCAGTCAGCCATGAAGATATAGCATTGATATAGCAAGGTCACAGTGGATTCTCAGGCTGAAGGCTGTTAAACTCTGCGATAACACAAGTTGTTACTGCAATATACATGCCAGTCTTGGTCCTCCTCCTGACATTATCATGGCTGTCAGCAGGGCATAGGGTGAACTTGCTGTGGAAACTAAACTTATTCACTGAACTGCAGCATTAGAACAAGGTAGAGTAGAAAGCAACTGTTGGCGCTCAATAGATTTCTCTTCTGCTTCTCCAGGACAGCAACAATTTACTGGGAACCTGTGATACATGCGACAATGACCGTGCAGAAACCTTGCTGATCCCAGATCCTCACTAACGCCAAAATTTTAAGTCGCTACTTCATACATTTTCTTGGAAAAAAACCCACACATATTTATAGGTCATCGCAGACTCTATAGCACATCATCATCTACAGGTGCATGCACTGCTACAAGAAAAATGCGAATTTCCGTGCACTTCATCTGCTGCCAAGCACAGCACGGTGTGCCCGTGCACTCACCCATGCAGAGGAAGTGCCCGACCTGCACCCGGCGGTGCTGCAGGGACGCGCACGTCAGGAGGAAGCAGAGGAGGTGGAAGGCGGCCAGCCCCAGCAGCCAGGGCTCGGACCAGTCCGTGCTCTGCGGGCGGAACGACAGCGCATCAGGCAGCGGCGGCAGAAGGGGCATCGCCGGGAGCCACCGCGACCGGAGCTCCTTCGCTCCTTCTCCCGCACCGAACGCGGCCGGTCGTCGGTCACGGACCGCGCCCCGCAACCCTCCCGCACCGGGCTCGGGAAGGAGCGCGCACAGCGAGGGCTCTGTCCCCGCGCCGGACGGCCCCGCTCCCCTGGCAGCCCCGCGGCCCCGCTCCCGCTCACCGCCAGCACAGCCGACAGCCCCGGCGGGCCCTGCACGGGCAGCTCCATGGCGGCGGCGGCGGCGGCGGCGGCGGCGGCGGCGCTTCTCGCGAGACTCGGGCGGCCGGCCGTTCTCCTGCGGGGCGGCGGCTCCTGGGGCGGCTCCGCATCCCGCCGGGGGGAAGGGGCGGCGGCTCGTCCTGTGTTTTGGGGAACGAACGGGTCTCACACCTCCTCCTGAGGGTGGCAGTAGGCCAGAACCGCCTCTCCTGGTTGTGTGTCTGACAGAAACAGCGCTGGCTTTTCCGAGCGGGGAGGGAGCTCTGGCCTTGTGTCCAGCGTTTGATGCTGGCGTTGGGAAGCCGCCGGTGTCACCAACTGCTGCGTGGGGTCAGCCTGGTCTCAGGGTCCGTGGCCCAGCACTGGTGTTGGCTTTTTGGTCTCCTCTCAGCAACACCTACTGTTGCCTTTAGCGATGGAAAGGCAAGGAAAAAAGGAGTTTTAATGCCAGCTAGAAATTTCTTAACAAACACAGCTGAGCACTCCAGGCAGGAACTTAAATGAAAAATACTACTTTTTTCCAAGGAAAAAGAAAAAAAAAAATCATTACGATGGAAAGTCAACAATGCATTTAAAGGCTAAACCTAATTTATAATCCCTTTTGCTAAAAGTATGAAGAAGAACCTTCTGGAAGAAGGTTCTGGAAGAACCAGCTGTTCTTAAGACCTACCACTTAAAAAGAATTTCAAACTCAGATTCCTATCAACTAAGCCAGGAGACTTTGTGAAGTCTTAAAGGATTAGCTTTGTCGAACAAGCCATATGTCATCTATACCTCCACATTCTGCTTCCATTAAATTATTTTTTCTGACAGTTTGGCTTATCAGATGTAAAGCTTTGGCTTTTTTTCCCAAATGTTTTTCTTTAAAAAAACCTTACTGTATAAGTAAATATTACATACACTCTTTTAATTTAGTCTACCATACAGCCAAATGCAGGTCATCACTGTGAACTGCTCTCTCTTCACTGTCAGACTCCTGCAATTTAGTGTGAGATACCTGAAACCAAGGTTGTGATTCTTTTTTGCTTTAGATTTTTGTTAATCTTTTTCTCAAAAACAATAGTATGTGGAGGCTAATAAAGACTTTCACTTAAAAACATAAAATTAAGTAAGGTGATACAAAGGTGGTAATTTTTACTACTATTGTGCCTTTAAAAATAAGACTAGGGGAAAAAGATGTTTTGATTCCACGTTGTAGACAGGGAAGTAAGATCGGAATAAACACCAGTACAGTCTGGGGCTGACCTGCCAGAAAGCAGCTCTCAGAGAAAGACCTGGGGTCCTGGTGGACTACAAACTGTGCATGAGCCTTTGTGGCCAAGAAAGCCAGTGGTATCCTGGAGCGCATTAGGAAGAGCATTGCCAGCAGGTCGAGGGAGGTGATCCTGCCCCTCTAGTCAGCCCTAGTGAGGCCACATCTGGACTTCTGTGTCCAGTTCTAGGCTCCTCAGTACAAGACATGGACCTCCTGGAGCCAGTCCAGCAGAGGGCAACAAAGTTGACTAGGGGACTGGAGCATCTCTCTTACAAGGAAAGGCTGAGGGAGCCAGGCCTGTTTAGCCTCGAGAAAAGACAGCTGAGAGGAGATCTCATCAATTGTCTATATATGAAGGGAGGGTGTCAAGAGAATGGAGCCAGTCTCTTCTTGGTGGTGCCAAGCAATAGGACAAGAGGCAATGGGCAGAAATGGATGCACAGGAAGTTCCACCTGAATATGAAAAAGAACTTTACTGTGCAAGTGATCACACACTGGAAGTGATTGTCCAGAGAGGTTGTGGATTCTCCCTCACCAGAGATATTCAAGAACCATCTGGACACAGTCCTGTGCAATGTGCTCTAGGATGACCCTGTGTGAGCAGGGAGGTTGGATCAGATGACCCATAGTGGTCCCTTCCAACCTGACCCATTCTGTCATTCTGTGATTCTGTAACTTGTTGTTTGGAAAGTCTTACAGCTAATAACAAATCAAATGGTTTTGTGTTTTGTAAATAAGGAATGAGTTTCCTATAATTGCTCAGTAATTGACTACGGACACGATCTGCAACTGCTGAAGGGCTCCAACGAATGCAGGATACAGCCACTCCTACATGAATGGAATATACTGGTCAATAGTTAATCTGTGATGCAGACAAGCTGGATGGATAAAAAATTATTGCCTTACTATGGCTACATTAAAACTTCATGTAGCTTTTACTGTCAGCCACTGTTGCATCAGTGAAAACCTTCTTACAGGGAAGTAGGAGTTGCTTCTTTAAGATTGACTAGGATAAAGTCAATAATGCTGTTTGTCAGCAGATGGTAGCAGATACACAAGTATTACCAGATCCTTTGTGTAGTATATGTTCTCTTTCATTTATTTTTAGTGGGGAATGAAGTGTGAACAGAAGATACTTAGAAGGCAACAAACAGGTACCTTACTCTTTTATAGGGAAGAAACTGTGTATTTTTCCTCTTACAGTTTCTTTGTAGAGCCAGCATTCTACAATTAGATCCCAAGTTTTAAAATACTTTACTAATATAAATATACAGTACCAATAATAATAATAATATATATTTCTGTTCTTATAATTTCCTTCCTCCCCACAATATTATACAAGTAGATTGGATGAAAGTTTAAAAAAAAAAAAAAAAAAAGAGTTGATTGGTGAAATGATTTTTTTTTTCCCTTTTAACAACCGAAAAACTTAATCTACTTTACCTAGGAAAGAACCTAAAATCAGGCATCTTAAGTTTAGATTGCCAAAAAACCAAGCTGGATTGTAAAAGCCTACATATGATAGGGAATACCAAACAAATGCTAAATTATATTTCTTGTGGTAGTCCTACATGCATGTTTGCTAGCAGATCATATGGTGCTGTACTAGAAACCATGTAGAAGTGCCTTTTCTACTTCCTTCTGAGGGAATTGCAGCTCTGATTCTCTGTGAGAAGATGTAAGAAGATGTGCAAGCAAGTGAATGGGGCCGCCCCCCACCAGAGCATCAATCAAGGCAAAGATAGAAGGTGGGCACATGTGGGGGCTAGTGACAGGTATACCCAATTTCTGTGCTTTGCAAAGATCCCACTGCTGAGTTCTGCTGTCAGGACAGGGACTGCCCACCTCTACATCTCCTGCCTGTCTCACAGCCTTGCTCCTGGGGAGTAGAATGTTGTACTGACTGTCTTGGATAGCCTTTTCAGAGCTCTGGGAGGCGTGAGCAGTTTCACTGTGAAAATAGCCTGAGCCTGGGAGAGGAGTCTGGATGATCACTGTTGCTGTCACTTCCAGGCCATCATTTTTATCTGTCCTGAAGATTTTCCTTATATACATGGGTATGCTCAAAAGCTGTCTTAAATTTGCATTTGCTTCCCAATGCAGCTGAAGTGAGCCTGGGTCTAATACAGGTTTCACTAAAATCCTTCACTTTCCCTGTCCTTGCCATTATCAAATAATTATTTTTGAGTGCCTCCATTATTTTTTGCAGCAGCTGTCATCTCTTTACATTTTTATAGTACCAGCTTTTATTGGTTATGATGTACTTGGAAAACAAGAATAATAGTCATAGTATTAAAAACGTTTCTTTAGAAATAGAATTTAAAACTCACTGTGGATTGTTTTGTGTACATCATTTCTGGGTTTCAGGTTTAGTTGATGGATGCTACTTCTTCTAAACTTGAGGTTAGTCCTGCTTTTGAGAATGAGAGTTGTACTGGACGACCTCCAGAGGTCTGACCTGTATTGCTCTATAATTTTTAATTTCCAGTGATATGGACTGGGACCAACTGGCTGGGGGGCACCACTGCTGAGCCTGGGAGGGGCAAGAAGCTGAACATAGACTATCAGTGTAACCTGGCAGCAAACAGTGCCAACAGTTTCCTGGGCTATATTAACTGCATACTCAGGAGATTAATGGAGTCAGCATTCATTAGAACACATCTACATCTACCTTTTGATACTTCAAATACAAGGACAATAATGATAAACTGTGAAAATTCAGCAGAGAGCTCTCAAAATGTTCAGGGAGTTGAAACCTTTGTCCTGGGGCAGGGGCTGGGGGAGTTGGGCATGGTTGGCCTGAACAACAGGCTCCAGGGGAAACCTGCTGGCAACCTACCAGTGCTTATGAGGAGCTTATAAAAAGATCCAGGCTCTTCTGGTGGTGTGGTGTGAGAATGAGATGCAGTGCACATAAATTGAAACTAGAAGTTTGGGCTGGATATAAGTAAAAGCTTTTTCCTCATGAGGACAATCAAATAATAGAAAAGGTATCCAAAGAGGTTCTGGGTTTTTTTGAGATTTTCAGGACCCAGGTAGATAAAGCCCTGAGAAACCTGGTCTGGCCTCATAGTGAATTTTGCTTTGAGCAGGAGATTAAAATGACTTTCTAAGATCTCTGCCAGTCTGACTTATTTTAATTCCATAATTCCATAATTTAAAATGAGAAAAATCAACTGTCTAGATGTATTCACTAAAACAGTATTGCTTTAGCCTGGAAGTTAAATAAATACTTTTGTATGTTTTTTCAGAATCTTATTCCCTTAACATCATCTCTTTCATTCAGTTTCTGTGAGGGCTTTTTTTCCTCATTTCAAAGTAGTTTCAGGCATCTTCAGGCTTATTTTTATTCCTCTGCTATTCCCAAACTTTAGAGGCAGTCTGAAATGCAAATGTCTTTTTTTTCTCTACATACTAACAAGACCGCCTATTAAATTGTTCCACTAATCCCACCAAAGATCTCAGAATTATTTCAAAGCCCTGCTGTGTTCTGGCAAAGCAACCAGATTTTTTTTCTGTTGGGATCTTTGTCCAGTCAGGGTGGAAGAGGCCAAGTGTAGTTGAAAGCAAAAAGCAGTCCTGACAATCTCTAATCCTGTTCTTAATTATACACTTTACTTTCTCTTTGATGCCCTCTAAAGTTTTCTTCTGACACAATTGCTCTATTGACTGTTTTTGATCTTAGAAGTACCACCTTTTGTCATTCCATGGAATGATATGGAAATTAAACACCTTTACGTTTCTTTGATGTGTGACTGCATTGAACTGGGCACATAATATAGTGCATTTAAGTTGCAAC